AACGCGTATTCCCGGGCCGGCGGCGGCGGCAACTTCTTACGTCACGATCCGCCAGGCTTGATACCGCACAAGCCGGCGGCCGTACATATCCAGTCGTACGCGGCCGTCGCAGTGTTCGACCCCAAAAAATCGGTGGTGGCCCGTTTGCACCCGCATTATCCGTCCATTGTGCGCCTCCGTCGTCTTAAGTCCATCGACGAATTGACGTGCGAGTTTCTCAATTATTTCTCTTCCGTGTTCGTCGAAAACATCAAACAGCCCGTGCCCAAAGACCCGCTCAACCGGCCGGCGTACGGACGTCGTGCGCAACGAGCCGCCGAAGAGAACGCGGCCCGGCTCCGGCGTCGATACGGCGATTACATTCGCAACCGCAACGACAACGTGCCGCACGCCGCCAGGCGTCTGCAGACGTTTCTGTACAAAGACTTCTTGGACATGTGGCTGTACACCAGAAACCAAAACAACGGTACGGGCGACGCGGCGACCGCCGACGATCCTCCCAAACTCCTCCAGCTCGAACCGCCCGACGAACACCCGTCGGATCTTCAGACCGTCGCATCCGGAAACAGTGTGACGAGGCCCATTTTGCGGCCCGTCCAGAAATACCGAATAGTCCTTACTCACAGGCCAAAAAATAACCGAGGAATACTTTAAAATCGTGTATTAAAATCATTAGCGCACCTTTGTGTTTTATGTTTTAATAATTTTGGTAATATTAAGCTCATTTCAAACGCTCTTTTAATATTTAAGAGCAAATATTGAGCATGTCAGGTCATTGGTATACAGGAATTATTATAACTATAAGTGATAAAAACACTATTTCATATAAACCAATTTGGACATTATAGTAGAAATACAAATATCGCTGAAAGTATTGTAATGACAATAATGTGCTTGAAATTTTAAAGTTGTTTCCATACCATACTATTGTCACATAATAAAATTATGTAACTATTGTTAAAAACGAAAAGAAAGTTTCTGATTAAACAACCACAGATATTTTGTTTCAAATATAATTAGTATAATATAACTATCATGCATACATTTTAATATTCAACTAAATACTGACCAAACATTAACCAATAAAAACAACTAAATTGAGGGCAGTATATTTTATTATAACTACTTAAAATGGCCATGTACGATATTTTTTTAATGTCATGTCTGTATTTATAAAAAAACAAACGAAGAAATATTAAACATTTTTTTTTTGTTTCGTTTAGCAATGCAAAATCGCGTTTGCTTTTGTTAAAATATAATTTTAATTTCGTTGAATATTTATAATATTAATAATATATGACAATAATGATTAACACCGCCTTATAAATTAGCGTTATTGTTTTCACGTAGGAAATATTCTACTGATGTGTAAACTGTTTGTTAAAAAATATACATATATTGTATATTAATAAATCATATTATATTATATCGACTTAAAACCGAATATCTTGTTTCTATACACAGGGTGTTTAAAATTTTATGTAACGGATATTATTAACAGAATTTTTTTTAACAAAGATTTATGTGAAACATTTATAATTTTTATCAACAATAATAATTATTAGAGTTTTGGTTTTTTTCAGTCTGAAGCCTGATTTAAGGGGGAGGGGGGACTTTTGAAACTGAAATGTTAATTTATACATTTAATTTGCTACTTTAAATTAGAAATTATAATTTGCTGTAAATTTTAATGTTCGATAACCAGTATAAAAACTCTATAGTACTTTTAAAGTTATAAGTAATTAAAATTTAGAAAGTGAGGAAGGGTAGAGAGTAGTATTAGTATCTACGTGTATCACCCAACCCACCTCCCATCCTATATGTAGAACTCTATTAAACTTTTTAAGTAATAACTCAAAGCTGGTTAACGACCAGTTAAGCAAATTATACTTTATTTAAAAAACTAATTAAATTTATATAATACCTTTTAAGTTTCAAAGGTAACCCCCTCCACTCCCAATTCTGGTTTCTGATTGAAAAAAAATTAAATGATTAAATTGTTAGTAAAAATTAAAAATATTTCACAGAATTAATTTTTTCATAACTTAAGTATATCTTCATTAAATTAGGCGTTACATAAAATGTTGAACACCTTATATTATCTAATATATCTGTAATCCGCAGCTCTTTACATCGAAATAATGCATTTGATTTCAAGACTACTCAGGAAAAAATAATCGCCACTGTATTTTCGAGAACAAGCGATGTTATTATAGAGCTAAAAAAACTAAATGTATAAATATTTTATGAAAAGAAAAGCAAACAAACAAAACGATTTGAATAATAATAGTATTGCATCTTGCGTGGGACATTTGCATGTGAATAGTGAAAGATTAGATGGTTTTTTTTGTCGTTTTCATATTTTGTAAGTCAATTTATTCTGTTGTAAACAAGACACGAGAAGACGATATCGTCATCATCATTATTATTAAAGCTCCGTTTCTTAAATCATACATAATGCAAACTACTGTGAACAATGTCTTTTATTCGGAGTGAAATCAACGTGGCCGACGTCAACCGCTGATACTCACTCGAGTCTTTGTGTTGTTGTTAAATGTTGCAAAATATAGTCCAAAATAAATGCAATCGAGAAAATGTTTTCGACCAGTGTTGATTTTTGTTTAAGATTGATCAAATTGATCTAAAAACTCGACATTGTTAATTTGTTCACCACAATAGTTAAATATTTATTTACACAATACAAGTACATTGTAATAAGTAGCCGGGTGACGCTGCTGAGTGTCTACCCATAACTGTTAATTTTTCATTGTCATGTATATAATATCTTTCATCAAATTTGCTTAATGTACTCACTGTATAGATTGTAAATATATTTTCTGATAATAAAAAAAAAAATTTTAAAAAAAATTATATTTTGAATGTTATGAATGATACGATTAGGGTTTACTGTTTCCCATGTATTATTATAATGAAACTATTTTGCTATCTTTTTGAATCCGTAGATGGTGCAAGTATTAACTATCGATAAGAACCGTTGCAAAGGCAAAAATGTGTCTGGAATTATTGTATTTCACTTAATTTTTGTTAGGTTATTAGGTCTAATATAATCATATTAGATTAGGTGCTGTAGTTACCAATGTACGATATCGTACAATTATTTTTCAGATAAGTACATTGTTTTTCAAATGTTCTGTTCAGGTCTGACACACTTGAATTGTAAAATAAATACTGGTCAGGAGACCACCACAGTAGTTTTGTTTTAGTATTGTCTGTGGATTAATTTTAATTTTTAGTTTTATAACATCGGAGTAATATAAACGTGATATATATCATATATCATAATATTTTATTAATTGTTTTAATCGATTACAGTTCGAATATTGTTGTGTTTGTCCAGGATATTATTCTAATCGTCTTAAGGGGATTGCATAGGGTCTGTTTTTAAGGAGTTTTGTATAGGCAACATTAAAAAAAAAAAGAGGTTTTAATAAATTTTGACCATGCCAATAAATTTATCGGTGTTATTTGTATGAGCTTCAATAGGTATAATTTTTAACTTAAATCATTTTTTCTATGAATAAAAGCCATTTTGGTTTATTTTAGACAAAATGTCGACTACATAGGATAGTCCGATATCAATTCTGCAAAGAGATTTAAGATCTTTGGCTACTTTACTATGTTGTGTAGGAAGCCGATTTTCATTTAAAAATGTCGGTTTCTTGTAATTAAATAAAATCAATTTGCAATTGTTTCAAAATTAAAACCAGATTTTTTTACATAAAAAAAACAAAAATATGTTTCCTACCTGACCTAGTAAAGTGACCAAAGAACTCGTATATTTTGACATAATTAAAATCTGATCATTTTTAAGTAATCGAAATTTTGTCTGGCTTTTTGGTCTAAAACGTCAAAACCGCATGCAATCCTCTTAAGGTTATCGAACGTTTTACGATTTTCTTTAGTTCTGATGCGTTTGTTTTTAAATGTTATAAAAAAAAAAATTCCATAACTACTGCGCTTATACTTATACTTTATATCGTTATTATAATATAAATGTTTTGAAACCATCTCGACAATTCTTTGTGTACTGTTTAAATTGCCAATTTATATGATAAATAAGGCCGGTAAAAGCCTTAAAGTGTATTTATGAATAGCACCGAAGGCCAGGGATAATTGCAATACATAATGTTTTTCTTTCAAATTCGGCGTTAAATTAAGTAGGTATTTTTGAAAAGTGAAAGGATCAAAGAGAAAAGCGTTTCCATGTGGCGGACTGATAGGAATAAAATAAAATAAAAATAAAATCATGCTTGTGTTGTTCGCGTGTACAAAACCTTTACAGTAGGGTGGAAAAACAATTTTTTGTAATATTATATTTATTTACCGGTCATATAGATAAAAAAAATTGTAAAGACGTTGAAAGTATTTCCACATTTTTACAGTTTATGTGCACAAATCTGTGTCTTTATTTGAATGCATTATTTCTTATGGCGTGTTGCTTAAGTGTAATCCAATGCTCAAATCGACGCCTTCAGTAGGTATTGTATTGTACTGTCTCTCGTCGTTCGCATTTGGTTCTTTAGAAGAATAAAAATAAATAAAAAATAATAGTAATAAACGTTAACAGTAATACGCCTAGTCGTTTATGTCTTCACAGCTGTAAACAACACCCGGATTGGCTTGACAGTGTCAATGCGCCCTAAGCACATTCGTATATATCTCCTTTTTTTATAATATATTTTATGGTTCGTTTATTGGTTTGTTTAGTTTTTTATCATGTCTCTTACGATAACCGTTTAGTAATAAATTATTATGTACACAGAAATAGATCACTTTTTAAACGTTCGACAAACAACAAAATATCATAATAATTATAATAATAATAATATATATTTCCGTTACAATTTTTTTTAAAAATTGTATTAATAATTTTTATAGTCGTACATTTTTCAAACACAACATTGTAGATGGTACAACGGTAATTTATAGTAATAATAATTATAATTCATTATTATGTACAACAAATTATTATACGAATAAGGTTTTTTTAATTTGATTTATAATTACATAGAATAATATTATCCATTACACTATGTTTAATAACAATAATAATACAATGGTAAACTTAATAATGAAAAATGGAGGATAACAATTATTGTAAGTAGTCAATAGTAGTTAAATCAATAGTAAGTAGTCACGTTTTGAATTGCTTCCAATCGAAATGTATGTGGTGAACCGCTGTTGCCAAAAAATGTTTGGATATATTATACTTTAAGACATTTGTTATTGTAGACTATTAAACGTTCAGGTAATAATACAAATTTAATTAGTTTTACAATTACTTGTCGAGTACAACTATATCGACACAACTTAAACGCGTTACACTCAAGTGTATAACAATTATTTAAGTATACAACAATAATAATAATAATAATAATAGTAATAGTAATAAATTTAAACAATGTTCTGAGCAATATTCAAAGCAGAATCGTACTGTCGAACACCGTATAACATAAATATGCCGTTAGCATAATAATATTATAATATATTAGTATTAGTCTTAAACGTTAATTAGTCCGTTAGGATGTAGGTAGGTATAATAATATGTAATTTTAATAAATAATAATAATAATAAAGGCAAGCTATCAATAGCGAAATGGCTTTGAAAAAATCATTATGTACACAATATTTATTATCATTGTCGTTTGGACGCTATCAGCGCCAACAGACTTTTGCAATAATAACTTACATATAACGGGACAATACTAAGAATTTTTTTTTTTTATTTAGATAACAATAAAATCCGCTTAACTAATACTTACTACTTAACAACAATAATAATGATAATACAATAATGACAATACAATATGTACCGTAACGAAGCCGGTCAAGCTCAATCCCTTTCCCCCGTTTAACAAAAAAACTGTACAATAATTATATGTAATATTATTATTATTATTGTTATTATAGCACTAAAAACAAGTCGTATATATAAGCATTTCGAATTGGCTTTCGGCCAATGTACGTCTTTCCATCCTTTCAACATAACTAACCCTCTGCAAGACCGCGGGAGTGTACTAAATTGTGTTGCGTCAACGTCTTATTTTTTTTTCAATTCAAAAAGACGGAATAAGAAATGCCGACACCAGAAGTATTATGTCATAATTTTTGTTTTTAATCAAATAATAAGAATTTTCAGATAACGCAAATGAGATATTAATCAGGCAGTAAATAATTATTCCCGTGGGAAAATTTTACTTTTTTTCGTTAAACAGAGTTTATTGGAGGTTATAGCTGTTCGTTATAACATTAAAAAAAAATGTTTAAGCCTTTACTATTTCGTTAAAAGATATTTTGGATTTTGAGTGGTCGGTAGCCCTTTTTGGTTTATTAATTGACGTGCCCGCCGTACAAAGCGTAAACGCTATGCCAACTATAATAATATGTACCAAAGCGTTGGTCAACGGAAAAATCCGGTATCGCCTATAAACATTGACCGCGCGGTATTTGCCCATTCTCATCGGAATCAGATGGGCATAACGTGAGTACACAGTGCAAGCGTAACTAACTATCCAACAAACAAACAAAAACGACTAATGCAAACACACGCAGTGTAAATTCGTGCGCACGTTAAAACGCATTCGCTCTCAAACACACAAATAAACAAACACAATTCCACTGCGTTTATGCTATTACATTATATTCGTAATAGGTATATAAGCGGTACGACGGGCATAATGTAATAATGTCAATAATAATAATAATATCGGTAATAACAAAAAATAATAATAACAACAACAGCAGCCTTTTGATTACTATTATTATTATCATTATCTTCTGTAAGTGGTTCCGCATATCATTTTGGTGAACGCCAACCGGAACTCGGGGCTGAACACTGTGTAGATGATCGGGTTCAGCGTGGAGTTGAAGTAGCCGAGCCACAGGAAAAAGCTGGACACGTATTTGTTGATCTTACATTCTTGACACAGGGGCATCACCAACGCCATGATGAAAAATGGTAGCCAGCATACGACAAACGCCCCCGTGATAATGGCCAGCGTCTTGGCCGCTTTACGCTCGCGCTTGGCCTCCAGCGACTCTTTCTTCTCTCGCTTGGGCTTCACCCGAGGGCCCGCCACGCACATGCGGTTCACGTTCATCTCGATTACCGTGTGCCTCGACGGGTTGGTGTCCGTCACGGTGGGCCCGTCGTCTTCCACCGGCACAGCCATGTCGTGGTTCGATGTGATGGTGAACGCCGTCGTCTTGTCTTCGACGCCGCCGCCGCATTTGGTCTGGCCGTCTTGCGACGATTCCGGCATGGAACAACTCGAGTGTCCGTCGATCAATCCGATGCTAGAACACACGGCCGTCTCTTCCACTTCTTTCTTTTTCTTTATCCTCAGGAACACGGCTTTCCGGAAGAAGCCGTACTTCTTCGGTTCGGACACAGCTTCGTCTGCCGGTTTTTTTGACCTGCAACCGAAATTCAAACAGTTCACTGACCGTGCCACGGTACAATAATAATATAATTTCTTTTTAAAAAATTCACTAAAATCTAAGTATTTTGCAAGTGGAAAAAATGAATCAGCTGTACTTTAACCTATTTTCACTATTACTGTAGTCACACTTAACAACACCTAACCTCACCCACCTAACCTAACGTACATCTTTCTTGGTTAGTTCAATGGTAGAGTGTACATTTTGAAATTTTACAGGCATGGTGTAATCAATAAGATTCAAACGGTCTTAACAAACTAACCGTCCTCAAACGGTAAAATGCATGTTTACTCATGCGTGTCTACCAATATTTTTGTACATTATGTCTATTTAGTATCAATTGTTGTTTTATACTCAACTCAATTTTTCAAAAAGTGCACTATTGATAACTGTCCATCAAAATTCCTAATTTCATATTATGACCGTCTTATAGAAATCATACCCTCTAACCCAATCGGTATCCGTTTATCATCACACCGTACAATCAAAGGGAATGGGATCAGAATTGTATTATTTGTTTCAGTATAAAAAAAAATATATAGAAATTAGAGTGGTCCGGCACAAGTGGATCAGTTTCGATGTGTGTGGTGCACTAGTAGTTGTAGTATTGGGTACATTAAATGATGTTTGGGGGTGGAATTTGGCGACACAAGTTGGATGTCGGTATATTTTGATAGCTGTTAACGGCGGAAGGGCCTACTACGTGGTGGCAACTACCACACACAAACCGTTAAACTGTTGAAAAAAAACACGATAAAAGTAGAAGGAACCCCACCTCCTCCTCCACCGGCCCCGTGACGTCTGCGAAAGACACTAAAACAAAATTTGGTGGTAACCGCAGCTGTGGTCGGCGTCCTGCCTTTATTGGAGTATAACGATCAGTTTCGGCATTATGCTCTTCGACATTATAATATAACATTGCGCTCTACTCCTCTTGTGAATTTCAGTGAACGGCAGTGTTTTTTATTATTTTATTTGGCAATAACGTTTGTCTTTCCGTACCTCTCGTGCGCAGCGCACCAAGCACGCATTTAGGGTAGAATTCATGTGGCGATTCCGCATCGTTGACGACGACACGGCATTTTATGGAATAGGAAACCCACGCGTTCCGTAGGGGAAAAACCTACCGTCGAATTTCCAGGACACACGGGAAATCCGTTAGGCAATAAAACTAAAAAAAAGTCGGTCGAACGTCTTACTCTCAGTTTTTCTCGGTCCGACGCAGTGTTGCCAGGTCACGGGAAAATTTCGGTGGCGTGGAAAAGTTTTTTAGAAATACTACAAGTAGAGAAGTATAGAGTATTTGTTAGAGAAATTTAAATTGAACCATAAGAGACAATCAATGAGAACTGCCTACTATGATTTCCCTACAGGCGTAGTAAATCTATCCTTCATAAGTACCCGTGTAATTCTTGAAAAGTGTGTCTTCTGGTTATTCCTTGATTACGCCATGAATTATATTACGATAACAGCAAAACAACGATATTAAACATTATCGATTTAAAATACATTATTACTGTTATCTGTTGTTATATTATATATTTCATGAGATGTTTTGATTGGCCATTTTATGCGTGGAAAAATTATGATAACATAAGGGAAATTTTACTAAAAAATTGATAATTAAGTACTGGCTACACTGGTCCTACTCGTCAACTACCTAAATTATAGGAATTGACGGATAAAGACATGTCGTGCCCAAAGACAGGATTTTCCGTTACTCATCCGATTGAATGTACATTTAAATAGAACTATATGCATTGTACGACGAGATATACATAAAACACAGTATTGTGCTGGGTGATCAACGTTTAAATTTGGTTGACGTACACAGTGTTTTATAACAGCTATACAGTTGGAATTCGGTGAAATTATTTCTGAGTTGGTGTGTTATCGCCGCAATCTCTAATAGCAACCCAACGGCAGCTGATACTAATATGCGAGCAAAACGCATACATTTCAATTAAGAGAGACATTGCGGTGCACAATACACTACTCTGAATAATTGACCATATGCCCACGCCGAACATCAGCTATACATCAGAACTGCTAATATACATAATATTCACCAATACTAGTTCGGCCGGACTCGTATTAATAATTCTCCAAAGTCGATGAATATTCAACGTACCATCTAGATAACAGTCGGCGGTTTGCATGTAACTAACTAGTCCTAGTATTCAAGGAGAATCGGACCGACTAATTAAATATCAGCGGCCGGATAGTGTCAGTCAAAATAGTGGTAAGTGTTATGGATTTGCATTTGTGTATGATAATTCCAGACCAGAGCAGTCGACGATTAAAAAGCCGCGGCTGAAGGAATTAATATATTTTTCAAGCGAGTTTCTTATTTGGTGAAAGAATGTGCCGCCGTCTTGTGCACCCTAATTTTCATTTTATTCACTACACACGTGTGTCTCATGTACAACGCGTTCCGCACATAAGTTCCCGCTGACTTTTAATTATCTCTCGCTCGTCTTTTGTGCGTTTCCTTTTCAACCGGCACGCGATTTCACTTTTCCCGTCCAACTTACTTGTCGCCTTCACACACAAGATGTCTCAGACCGTTCATCTCTCGTAATAACTTCACCCATTTGAATACTGTCATTGCGTTCTCCAATTTTTTTTCTCCTTTCGAGGCACACGTATATAGTGTAATAATTTTATTATGTTTTGTCCAAAGCAATCTGTGTCAGTTTTTCATCCATATTTTTCTTTTTCAGAAGAAATGAAAAAATATAATAATAACGAATCGTGACGCAAACGTTGTTAGGAAGATTAATCTGACACGATGCGTTGGTGTTTTTGGAACTTCAATAAAATTAATTTCAAATTCAATAATGTTCGAAACTTCCAACGCGCAATATTATGCAACTAGGAAATTCGACTGTTCTTCATAGAAAACAACGTATTCGATATAAAAAAGAAGAAGAATAGTTTAGTGGAACCGGAAAATCCGTGTTAATATATTTTTCAAGCGTACCGATACAAGGAATATATATAAATTAAAAAAAAAAATAATAAGAATCTGTTGTGGTCCCTAGTTCCGGTTTTATAAAATTAATAACTTCAAAACGACACCAATGACAGGTTAAATATTTGAACTTCATGTAATTTAAGTAAGTTGAGTAGTAACTTATACTATGGGAATCACCGTAACCTCAATATTAATATATTTGTATGACCTTGGCTGTAGGAATTATTTTCCGTACTCGAACAGCTGTGATATATATTTGTATAAGAGCCCCGAAATATATAAATCATATTAAAAAATTATTTATACTAAGAACTGAATTTTTTAATTGAGATTATTTAGCATTTATTTACTGTAACGCGAGGTTTTTTACAAACTACATAATAAGTACAACATACTATTATTATTATTATTATACTGACCTAGAATGTTCGAGCATGGCGTTCCGTTGGGCTCTGCGCCGCCGTATCCGTCTCCTGGCGATTTTGAATATCTTCCAGTACAGGAACAATATGACCAGGAGAGGAACGTAGAACGTGGAGCACGTGGCAAATATCTGATAGCCAATGTCCTGGCTGACCATGCACTGTTGCTGGATGTTGATGCGGTCCAAGTAGTCCGGGTCTTTCCAGCCGAACTGTGGGGCTAACGACACGACAAGCGCCACGGACCAGACGACCACTATCATGCCCACGATCCTCCTGCCGTTTCTCGTGTGAATGTAATCGACGTTAGTCACTGCCCAGTATCTGAAGAAAACCAAAGAAATCGTTATTTTATACTATTTCGAAGAAGAAGAGTGCACGACGCGAATCGTGTTTTTTCAGAAATCCATTTTTTACGGCACATAACCGCCAGTGGGTCTATTGAGCTTAGTGGTTATAGGCGTGACAGCCATTACCTACGAGACGAGATTAGTCTTTACCAATTTTTTTTTTTTTAGCAAAACAATGAAAAGTAGATTGCATTTTTGTTCACACAAATAGTTACCATAATAAAAAAATTGTTTTTTCAATTGTAACCTAACCTAACATTTTTTTTTACATAACCGCCAGCTAGGGGTGGCACCGACTTCCATCATTTCACCCTCCCGACACGCATCGCTTATGTTTTTTATATTCACTCATATAATATTACAATAACCATATAATTACATGGTTATAATTTATAACAAAGTACAACACACAATATAATATATATATATATATATATATATATATATATATTATACCTCACCTAACCTAACATAACTTCAATACAATATATACAATATATAAATATAAATAGTAAATAATTACAATAATCAGTAACAAACATAACAGTACATAACCTAACCTAACCTAACTTAATTGTTAGTAACATGGTCAAATTTGGAAATAGTCCAATGTAGAACATTGATAGGAATAAATAGTTTATGCTGATATTTCAAAAAAGAAAAAATCTAATTTTGTTTTTATATTTGTTTAAATCTGTTTGTTATCTACGTTTTTGTCCATGTTAAAAATAAATTGAAGTCATACTTTTAAGTTCTATATTTTTTTTTTTTTTGTTATAAAAACAAGCGTTGGCATTGATTACAAAATGGGTTGTTGTCAAAATAGAAAGTAAAAATATATACAATTGGAAGACTGACGGGTGTAATCAACCCACTTTCGAAAACCAGAGGGTCGTTAAAAACAATATTGACGTTGGCGGTTAATTGTTTAGAGCTGTTTAAAAATAATATTGTGTTTGAGTCAAACCACGGAATTCACTTAATTCGCAAAACAAACACGGTTGTTTGATATACATTTTATGAGTTATTTAAAAAGTAAAATTGGAATGTGGCAACACAAAAAAAAAAAGAATTTTGCTCGGAGGTAAAAGTTGAAGCACAAATTTGTACAGGCAACGTGTGTTTGAAGTGTGATAATGCGATTTGCGATAAACTGTTTCATTTGTTCTTTGTCTAAGTAATATTCAAAGCATACACGATAATAATATTATATTTTTTTTATTGCCTCTATAACTCGACACTTTAATAAGTACATACCCAAAAACATTTTTTTGGATTTTAAATAAAGACACCTATTTCACATTAATAAATTATATCAAAAAGTGTATTATTTGACCAAGTAATGTTTTAATAAATATTTATTTTAAACAACTCGATATTGTCAAATAATTATCATTTGTAATTTTAATAACAAAATATCCAGCAGTTTGCGGGGCACGGGGACCTCCTGTTTTAGTTGTTTATTTAAAAAATTATAGTTGTGCATGGAAAATAATAAATTTTGTATCTTTAACATTAAGTCGAACGTCTGGGGTGTAATATTTCTGAAGTATGTCATACCCAAGTGTTAGACTTTAGAGTCTAGTTTTATATTCTAGGAAAATACCCGGATCTCTGTGAATGAAAAAAACATATTTTAAAAGAAGAAATATTGTTTTAAGGCTTAATTGTTGATAAACAGCTCCATTAATACATAATGGACTCTGTTGCATAAAAGCCAAGGAACGAGAGCAGTGTAGGGTTTCACTCTTGAGTTTAGTATTCTTATATGTTCAAAGTATTATGTTACTCAGTCACAGACAGAAATAAGCGTAGCTAGAGCTAAGCCGAGAGACATTGGGTCAGGTTTTACTTGAACTGAAGAACATAATTATTATTTTACAGGATTCGAGTGGGCCGTGCAACACGATACCTATTCCGCGATAGCCAAAACGGCTAGGGACAAAAATAAACACAGTTTTTTTAAACGAAAAAATCCTGTTGTTGGCTTTTTTATCCTCTGCTTTAGTTGGCACATAGTGGTGTAATCCCACCCCTGAGCATAGTCCAATAATTATTGCTACTAGTACAAGGGTAGAAAAAAAACCATGTTCGCCAAAGAGATAGCGCCGCGTTGGGAAAACCAAACAAAATACACTGCCAAACATAATATGAAATCATTACAGCTATGCTTATCCGTTTTAATCGCCAACGCAACATGGAGTTTGGCTACCAGCATTGTCCGTTTCTTTGTACGCCTAAATTAAGTACTTTAAATGTTTTATTCTTTCACAATATCGTTCTAATACACAGAAGGTTTTCTTTCGTTGCCTTTTATATATTGTTTACTAGAATTATTCTCGTATACAATAGCCGTTGTATATGAGTAGGTTTATACTATCGAGCATTGTTAAACTCGCCTGGGCAACAAAACAAGCTTAACCAAACCATTATTACGTTTTCAACACACAAACACAATAATACACAAGACTTATTATAGACAATACAAAGTAAAGCGGTTAGAGAACGATTCGCACTGTACGACACGGTACGTACACTTACAGCTTATCCCGGCTTATCCCGGACTTCTAGAATTTAATCAATTTATACAAAATAAAATGTTAATTTTATCTTATTGCTATAACCGCGGTTAATGCTTAAACAACACAACCGTCATTGTTAGGTTGTAATAATGCACAAAAAAAAAAATACAATATGTTGGGATCAACATATTGTATTATTAACATCCATCTGATGTAAGACATTATTCTTTTTCTCGGAAAATATGAATATTTTGGAAACATTTATTTCCTATACTTGAAGGTACATATTTTACTATATTTTCTAATACTTAGAAAATTTTTACCTTCATCCCTTACCCGCAAAAGAAGTATTGACTTTGTTTTTTCAAATAGTCACATTTTTTTAAATTCCATAAATATGGAGACGAAAAATGTGAAAAAAAAGTTAGCCTTTTAATTTTTAATTCATCAATCTGTTCATTTGCTATGATTTTGTAAGCATTTAAATTTAAGATCATCATTCATTTCGTTTTTACAACAGTAGCACTGCAACTTCCCATTACACAATAATATTTTTAACTCACGTTGATGACACTGTCACCTTCATTGTGTTTTAATAGATATATAAGAACCGCTTGTCTATTATTATCTCAAAACATTTTATTGTGTCTGGTTACCTATCAGACTAACAATAAGAACATAAATATGACTTTTATGAGCTACTGGATTTTGGAAAGCTATACACATATTATGACAATTCAAACGCTATCATTTTTTATCATTTTTCGTTCCCATATTTATGGAGTTAAAAGTACATATTCCCATTTAGACAAACTAGGTTCATACTTGTTTTATGTGTAAGGGATGAAGGTTAAAATGTTCAAAGGATTGAAAATTAAAGTAAAATAGTTGTACCTAGTATAGGAGAAAAATAATTTTTAAAATATTTATATTTTCCGAGAAAATGAGTATCTTACATCAGATAGATCACCCTGTATAGAACATTTCAAAAACTATACTCGTTACTCATGCTGTTGCCAAGAAGAATATAGTACAAATTTGAAAAATAATTTATAATATTACCTGAGATTACCTTTATATACAATTTTATATATATATTTTTGCAAGAAAACGACGTTAATTTATTTTCCTCTGCAAAATTAGTCCTTTCGCCAATGGGCTTATAATTTCACGGTTTAATAATTTAAACAGTCGATATAATATACATGCGTACGTTTGAAGTTTGATTTATTTCATTCCCTCGTACATAAATAATATATTATATATTATTCCTAAATTATGCGATTATATCGAAAATTGTTGTTATATTTTATAGCGTGTAATTGAAAAACGCCCTGGAGGGGTTGGAATAGCAGGTTTTTTTCAATGCTTAAAACGAATGGAACAATAATGATATATAAATGTGATGCGTTTGCCGGTTCTAACGAGGGGTAACGGGCTTAAAGATATGGAACGAATTAGAGCAAAAGGGGAGTCTTTTTTTGTATATATTTATTTATAAATTTATATATATATATATATTAAAAATCGTGTCACACGTCAAACAAAAATATTAATAATTTTTATAACGACATACATCCTATGAATCAGCGGCGCAACGTTGAATGTTAATTCATGCGAAATGATTTCTCTTGCGTGCAATAAAAGACAAGTGTCATAAACGTCTGCTCAATATAAGTAAGTGTAATTTTTACTCCGATGGAAAATAAACAACAACTTTACGAATATTTTCGGAATTTGTGATTTTGCCGGATGGATACAACTAAAAATAATATTATAAAAACTAAAAAAAAAAACGAGCACATTAGAATACCTTTTTTTTTTAATAGTATTTGCTATAATTTATCAGAAACCTACAATTTTAGTTTTATATTATTCGGATAAAAAGCAAACAAATGTTAACGCATTAAATGGAATAATGCTTGCACATTTGGTAAATCATAGTTACTGGTTTAAATTGAAAAATAATTTAAATATTAGCAATACAGCTATTGAATTTAAATTTAAAAAAAAAAAGTTCAACAAAGCCCGTATTCTATTCAGAGGTAAATTTATATAACTGCAATCCGTAAAGCTAATAAAATAAACATAACAGATTCTTTATCCTCTGGATAGGTAATTTTCGTTATAACCAAAAACAACCAAACCGTAGGTGTTAAACTGTTCTCTCCTTACTTCTATTCTACCGTGATAACTAATCGCTATAATTTTAGATACCATGAAAAATATTACCTATATTATAATATTTTTCATGTGGGAATAGGTACACAAATGTACCAAATTCTTGTTATCTAGATCCTTCTGCGATTCAATTATTTTAATATATTCTAATTAACTTATTTTTTATTTGTTTATACGCTTTTAATTGAATTATTTAACGTACGACTAAGCTATAGTGACTGATTCTCTACTTTGATCGTAAAAGTCACTTAATACACTCGGGATTAGAGAGTATAACTCTTCTTTAGTGATTTGATAAAAAGGAAACACCTTTGACCAAATATAATAAAAATATGCTTCCTGTTCAATTACTGTACTATACAAATTCGAAAACCGATCAAAGAAATGTTTTGACTTGCGAATTCTATTAGAACACGATACAGTTTCTTTTTAATCCGACTAATCTAATATAAGGTGATATTTTTTCTTGTATGTAAGTTTAACACTCATATATATATATATATATATATATATGTATAGTAAATATTAAATATTATGTACCTACTTTCTATTTTTTTATTGGATAGCATATTATATTTTAATGAGAAAGAAAATTTAAACATTTTTTTTTTAAATTATTATTTATGTTTACTACAAAAAGTTGTGTCCTTGTCAAAAAAAAAAAATTAAAAAAAAAAAAAATTGGACTTTTTTCTATTTCGGTTGACAATTTGAAACAAGCTATGAAAATTAATGCCTAACTTTTAAAATCATATATTTATTATTTTGTTTGTCTCTCATAAACAGTTAGAAAAATTGGACTTGTCCCCTTTCTGCAGTTAGCGATTCATGTAGCTAAATAATGAATCTCGCACACTGGGTTGCAAACAAAATTTATTGTATTAGTTCGATAGGCCATGATATTGGATCTACGCAATTGGTCCAATAAAGTTTAGTATAACCTGATATCGGGGTTTTTTTAAGCATAAAATTAATAATATTAAATAATTATTAATTGTTATTGTATAATATATTTTACGGTTTTAGGTTTCGGGTTATAGTGATTTATTATATTACGAGTATGTATACCAGCATATCACTGTAATATTCTGATACACAGTATTATAATTACCGAATGATGTAGTAAATAATTAAAACACTTTTAGCACTCGGTCACCGTCTTGTGGACATTTTTAAATAAATAAAACGCTAATGAATATAAACCAGCCAATATAATTGTAATTTATTACTGTTAATTATATTTCGTCTTTATTATACCTTATTTACGCATTCAGTCTTTGGCGGAGTTAATTTTGTTCTATTACATTTACGAATAATGTACAAAATGATAACCTCTACTACGCTGTCATTACAAAGTGTAAACAAATTATGAATATACCGTGTACAAAGTGCAACAAAAATGCATCTCGTTTCAATAAAAACTAGCACACAGAACGTTAATGTAGCTAACTTTGAATTATTAAAAGTTAAAAAAAACAAATTTTGTTTGATACCTATTTTTTTGTGTAGCTCTCAAATATAGTTGTAAGAAAAAGTAAATATGCAGTCAACATATTGCTGTCATAAATATATCGTAATATATTATTTTAGATGGGAAGGTTTAATCCACCTTTTGGACGTGCAATCGGAAAAGCCGTACTTAACAAGGTTGTCATAATATTATAACAAACGTGTATAACATAATAATAATATATTACCTATCTACTGCTATTGCGACGAGGTGGAGTATCGAGGCTGTACAACACAACACGTCACTCGAAGTCCACATGTCACATAGTTCGGGGCCTAAAATCCATCCTCTGCTAAGCTGTAAAAAAAAATAATCATTTGGTTAGAAAAGCTGCCGAACGGTTATGACGTAATATTATAACAATAGGTAATAACAAACATAATAATGTATTTTTAACAACATCGACAATGTGGCTTAGTTGATGAGATACCGAGATAGAGTTATTCGACTATGGCTGAACCACGGTAAGGGCGTTGCATAGAGTAAACATATATAGAGCGATAACATCATAATATGTATAATGCTCTGTACTCAGCAACGAAGTAATCAAGAAGGTGAGTGGCAGTGTGACCACTTTAATACAATTTTTTTAATAAGTTGTTAAGCACTGCACAGTATAATTCTACCTATAAAGATCAATAGATAAATTTTAATTTCATATGGTAATATGATAATGTAATATTGTAATATTGTAATATTGTAACCGATAAGGCGTATGTCTTGTTTCACATAGTAAAACAAATTAAAAATATATACCAGAGAAATGGATTTTCGTCATTCTGGTTACACTGCAGCTCGTCTTTTCGCTTACTTCATAATATTTTACGTTGGCAACCCCCTGACGTATTGAAAGCGGTCTGGGTTTTGGACGTTTTAGCTACTTAGGCAAGTCCAAATTCAGTTTTGGATAGATATACAAATTCTTCGGCTACCTTACTAGGTTATGTTGGAAACATATTTTTTATTTTTTGCTTTTTTTATGTAAAAATACTCAATTTTAATTTTTTTAAATACAAAAACTGTTTTTTTTAAATGAAAATCGATTTCCAACATGGCCTGGTAATAAGCCAAAAAATTCTCATTGTTTTTCACAGAATTGTTACCACCAAAATGGCTTTAACTCACGGAGTTAAAAAAAATACTTCGAAGATTATACAAATATACCTGAAAATAAATTGGCATTGTCTACATTTCTTAAAACCACTTTATTCTAAAATATCGTTTATATTATACTACTTTAAAACATCCCCTCGAAATTGTAAAACATATTTACTCAACGTACATGCGGACTATGTACTCGGGGTAATAAACTGCGGACGGCTAATATTTATTATTTATGGTAAGGATGACAATGCGCCAGTGGAAAATAGCATAATATTATAATGGGCGCGTCGTTAATAATGTTATTATTGTTATTATCTTCGGTGTTTGTGTGTATAAGAAAATATGTTTAAGTTTGTAATCAAAACGGTTTACGAGAGCGGTCGTAATTACAACCACAGCGCAGTTGCTCGTTATTTGCCTGTTGAACGCTACTAATATAATTAATAATTATGTTATTATTATTAGAATTGTCTTGGCCGATTATTTGATTTAAGTACAAACTCAGAGAGTTTTGGAGATATGATCGCACCGCTCTCGTATAAAATAAAAAGTATACAACACTCTTTTGAAAGTGTTGTATACTTGTCTCTTTTTTTTTTTCTACGGCTAACCCAATTAATTGTTAGTAGCCTAATCAAATAGTAAATTATTAAAATTTCAGATCTATAGCTCAACTCTAAGTACTTTTTCATGATTTTTTTGCATAAGATTAACAGACAACATTTTAATTTTTTAATTAAAAAAACTATATTTTGATAAGTAATCAATATTTTTTCAATTTAAAAATAATATTCTTAACGCTAAACTACGGCACTGGAAAATCTTTTTTTTGATACTTCGTGATACATTTTTTTTAGCTAGTTTCGAAGTTATCAGTTTGGTCAGTTTTAGTGGCATGTAACTTGATTGAAACAAAATTGTTATTGTGAATCAAGGGAGTGAATAAACAATACAGCATTTTAAACTTAAACAATTCTAGAAATACAAAACTTGTTATCGATTAGTCAAAATTATTTAGAAAATTACTTTTTATTTTAAAAGTAAATTATATATTATAAACGTTGCCATTTAAGTTTCAAAATTAGATCTACGAATCTAGAAAATATTAAGTTAGGCAAATATTAAGTAATTTGAAAATATTGTAAAAATACATAAGCTCGAGTATTACCTGAAAATAAAAACTTTCAAATTGCCAATTTTTAAAGTAAAAACTAGTGTCTTATCTTTAATGAATCACTCTGTATGTTGCCCATTATTACAGGACACGGTAGTCGTTTCGAACGCAGATAACTGTAAATCCGTATTATGGAAATTCGGATGTCTTTAAAACGGAAAAAGAAAAACGAAAACGGCTTGGACCGCGAGACATTATGTAAATGCCGGTTAGGTCGGGGGAGGTAAGACGACAATATTGATCGTTTAATAGCGGTTTTAATGTCCGAAGACGGTATAAGTACAGGCCTATTGCCATATGCTGCTGATAAATACGACGGTTTGGAGACGTCACCCCGTACATACTATTATTATATCGGATAACAATAAAACCGCCAGTGGTTGTATTAAAAAAAAATATATATATATTATATCATAAAAAATATTTAAATCAAAAGTTTACCAATATCGAAGGTTATTAAAATCAGAAAAGTCGTGTTATTGACAATACCGGTCCTTTGTACGTAGGTATATTATTTTTCCAACGGCATATTATGCGGCGGCCATGATAAAAAAAAAATTCTATTTAACGGCCATTGTGTTGTGCACGATTCCAATGGAATCGGTGTCGCCGTAGTTGCTTATTAATAATATTGTAATGCTAATGAGACGCAAAACTTGTCGGCGAAGAAAAATCACAACTATATTGTCGAACGAATTTAAGTTTGTGCATTGACAAAAACGGAATCGAGTTATCGTATTTCTTTTTCCCCGTACAACAAAACACTAAGTTTGTTTTTTTACAATCTACATAAAGTCGTGTTTTTGAAGTCTGCCGAACACAGTGTCGCAAAGGCGCCCGCCCGTGTCTGGTTTAAACATTTAAAGATTGACAATCCTTTGAAAGTCAATTTCCTCTCGACTTCCAACTCGACGTAAATTGTACCAGGAAATTGCATTCACTCGATAGTCTATTTTAAGCATTTAATCGTGAAGTCGGCATGGTAAAATGGAGCAAATATAAATGTTTCAAAGTAAATTAAACGGGTGGTAAGGTTGGCGGTTTAAACTTTAAATCATCCAGACATACAATCATTCTCTCAGCACGCAATAGTGTACAGGCTGCTCCAACCGATTCTTTTTTTCCACTACTCGTAGCTCCATAGTTTCCTAAATTTTCCAATAATTTGAAAATGTCTACTTTCATCCATTGTACGTAAAACAAGTTAGTATGGACCACGTTTTTTCAACTGGGAACATATTATTATGTTTTTAATTCCATAACAATGTACACAAAAATGTTTAAATAATGTTAGTTCAAAATAACGTTTGATTGAATTTATAATTTTTGTATAATATGTATCTATTCGTTTGCTATGACTTTGCAATGATTACATTTCCTCGTTTAATTGTCATATGTCTTCGGTTTTCAAAATGCAGTTGCCATTAAAATTTATATTTATGGTCCAATACAAAATAAAGTGTTTTGAGATAATAATAGCAAAGCGGTTCTTATAAACCTATTCAAACACAGTGACGGTGACAGTGTCATCGACGGGAGTTAATATTATTATTTAATGGACAATTGCTGTGCTACTGTTGTAAAAACCCGAACGAATATTAATCTTAAATTCTCTGCAAACGAATAGATTGATGAAAATTAAAAAGTAAAACGCTAAATTTTTTGTCTACATATTATGTATAGAATTAAAATCATATGTTCGCATTTTAAAAAATAATGTTCGTACTTCTTTTACGTAGAAATGAAGATTGTCATTTTCAAAGAATTGAAAAATATAATAAATTATGTTCAAGTGTAGGAACAACTAAATTTCAAAATATTCATATTTCCGAGAAAAATTGGTGTCAAACATCAGGTGGGATCACCGTGAATAGCATTATGCTGTTTAACTGAATATAATCGTCAGCGATAGAAACGTTCGATAGCTTTAAAGTGACAATAATATTAAACGTGCACAATAAAAAATATATATATTCTTAGTGTGCACAATGAAGTATGAAGTATATTATGTATACAAAATATATTTTTTTGTAAAACAAGGTTTCTTTTTTTTACGTGTAAACAAACACAGTTTAGCTGGTTAAAATATGTGTATTTCAAACACCGGAGGGTAAAAAAAGGAAATGGTTTCAGACATTATAAAATCGTATACCTAATGTGTTTTTTTTTTTAATTATTTACATTTGTTAATGTCATGCGCGTTGTGTCCACGTACCTTGACGAAATTAGTTTGAAAAAGTGATGCTATAATATTAGAAAAAAATGCACATTCATACATTAAAAATGACATTTTATATCTGTCCGTTGAGAGTACGTGATTTCCATACAAACGTGTTGTGTGTAACGGGGTTTAATTTTTTTTTATCGGACTTAATAATATATGTATATAATTAATGAACAAAAATATTCTCCAACACAATATAACAACTATATAATATATATAGTAATACATTAATAATATATAATACGGCGTTTGGAAAAGCTTTCAAATATTATAATAATACAAGACCGGGTTGGGTAAATGTTTATGTCTGTTGTATATATACACACGAGTTTTCAACTCGTTTTTAACTCTGTAATGTTTTTGATACTAGAGTGCCGTTATGTTTCACCAAAAGCTTGAATTTAAAAAAATCGAAAAAGCCAACCTGACAGCTGAATGGAAAATTTTGCTTAAAAAAAACAACAACACACACGCGTTTTTCCTTTTTTTTTTTTTTTTTTATTAAGAAAATGTTTTACAATGTCGTTTGACTGTAGTATTACACAACCCCTCAGGTCTAGATGGCATGCCGAAAATAGCCCTGTCGATGTTAATTTCATTGGAGTATCAAATAAATATTACTTTTTATAGCCTATTGGTTTTATGTTTGCATAACGCCAATTCCGTTGAAAACCGATTGAATAAAAGACAAAAGTAATCATAACGTGCAACGAAGTGTAAACGCTTAATAATAATGTCGTTTGCGACTGAATTTATATTAAAATGAAACTGGAAACCGATGTTTCTTCTTGTTCA